CTTCGGCGCCCCTCTGGGGCACCACTCACGACTAGCCGCTCCACCATTTAAATGCATTTAAGCAGTAGTTGATTATTATCCTTTTACAACAAAAGATGTGACCTCATTTTCATATTTTTGTTTATATTACTTTTTTCACGTCAATGTCGATGAATACCAATAGTAAGAGCTTCCACTGAAAAATCTGCGAATAATTAAATACGTGGCCGGGAAAAAATGTAATATGAGTAGACCTAGACTCCGATTATGAAGAACTGACTAAAGACTATATGTGAATGTCAGGGTACCTGCGACCCTTAAATATAAATGAATCTGGCGTTGTAAATGTGGTTCTGCTCCAGTGCAATAATAGACTTGATATATTTTCTTCATCCATATCTACTTCAACAGTCACACCTAGATACGACAACTTACTAATAAGCTGATACCATGCAACTCAATATCTAATGTCAAGCAAATTCCATCTGAAAATATCACTGATTGCGAATTGATATCATAGAAAATGTGGTATATGTACATGAACCCTTCCTAACCGCAATAATTAATAAGAAAAATACCGGCAACACATTAAATGAACTGCTAGCCGAATAAAGCTTGACAGACTGATAGCCGAATAGCAAAAACATTTAATGGCCTACCCCCACTCTCTCTCAGACAAAGTCAATTTTCGTCAAATTTATCAATTGTATGATTTATAACCCGTTAGATAGAGTAAAGTGTCTACTCTCGAATGCATTATATGTGATTGATTTTATGATGAGATTTAAGGACATTCCATCGACTGTATGGAGGATCATATGAAAAAAAGTAAAACGAATTTTTTGTGTTTGTAGCAAGGTCAGAAAAAAACCAGAGACGAAGTTTAATTATGCTTAAATTCTAAAGTTTCACCAAAGGTAATTGAGGTCGGAAAATCCGAATCGTGTAATGATAATTGGCCGAAGCGAGAGCCGAAGATCGAAGCAGACTAATACACCGATTGGTTATTTTACTTACGAAGATCTAGTGTATTAAAAGCACCATCCATCCTTTGAGATGTCGCCTCTATATTGTTAAAACTGTGGTAGGAACCAGAACTAGCAAATCTTCTAGTAGATAAAAAAAATTCTTAAACCTATTATTTGAAAAATTACTAGAAAATCTGGTCATTTTTGATTGAGAAAAGTCACCTAAAAGATAAGTCGAGTTATCCAAAAAAGTGTAAAATACAAAGGGTATATTTGATCGACCAAATATATCTAGAGGACAAGTCGATTTATACGCAGATGATTACATTACACGTTCATATTTCCATTTTATATTATAAGTTACTTTTGCATACAAAATTTTTGATCATTTATAAAAATTTCTTAAAAAATATCTATCGTTTGATTTAAAGGACGGGGGGTGGTTTGTCCACAAATCGGTCCTAAATGAAAATCTCTTCAGAAGTCAACTCCACCTTGGAATTATGCTCCTTCCTTCATCACTCAACCACTCTCGATGCACATAAACGATTTTCCTGAACACTATAGAGTCCATTCTATCAGATAGCGAACCGTCCCTTTATAGAGCATATTTCTACCTGTGATAGTGCCATGTAGTGCCTATAAACATCAAGTTCTTCAATGTAAAAGCGACATATTTTCAGGGGAGATAGAGCTTTTCAAGAATTAGAAAATGATGCCAAAATATGTAAGAAAATATGCTGTGTTCAGTATTTTCTGAAGAGCACACTGGTATTACCCTCTAGAAAAAGCACAACGTTTGGCAGCAGTGTCCATGCAATCTCCACAGTAATTCATAGAACCGGAGCCATTCTTTTGACAGTAGTGAGAACATTTGATGTGCTCAAGACTAATGTGAAAATGTGGATGAACAGATCGTGTCTTGAAATATTTCCGGAGACGGTATTTGTTGAAATCAGCTGGTCTAGGCGCAGAATAGATACCAGCGTGACCGATCTGGAGTTTTCTACCGAATCAAAAGAATGCACGGACCGCGGTGCTGAAAAGATGGTTTGAGTTTTTTTTGAAATCGGTTCACTGAGAATTCGTGAGCTACTCCGGGTATCCAGTTCGACCAAACAGATATCATCGAAGTGTATGATATATTGCACGTGTGTTGGTGATGCAACCGATATACCGGAGTCCTTGCAGTATCTGATTTTTTACTTCCAGTGAAGCTTTGGTCGCACTATAGACTTCCGACTTCAACGGTAGACAATTTTTGGAAGAATGTTTTCATTGGAAACTCAAATTCAGGTGTGAAAATAGTTTACAATCATCGAGACTAAATAGAGCTTCATTTATCATCTGAGAAATCAACGTTTCTGGAAGCTCATGCGTATAAGAAACATTTCTTGCATAACTAGAGTACATACAGGTTCTCCATGTAGCACGGTCGGCGTAGGAGCATTTATATTCTAAGATTGCACCCAAGCCAGACCATCTGCATCAGTTTGAACAGATCTAAAAAAATATGAAGAGGTCTTGATAAAATACATAATGAAAGACTACTGTAAGAAAAAGTCGCAGTCTATCGTCGACATCTGACAAATTTTAATGGCAGGAATATCGGGAGTCTACAGGCGGCTTTCATCTGGATTGAATCGTATCAGTCCTGTTTTTCTGGTAGTGCGATGCAAAGGCAGTTGATGTTGACATGGACTGCATCCGTCCATTTTCTTGGCCATAAATTGTATCAAAGAAGAACAACTCGATAGCAACTTCCGACGAACGCCGCTAATATCCATTATACGAAAAAGATTTTTTTAGGCTTAAACCTTGCTACGGCATTAATAACATAACTATTTCAACATCTTAACTTTACCAAAGTATATCAGTATATTCCTTGCGACTTCCTTCTCCCCAAATAAACTCATCATATTACCATCAAAACTTCTCAAACGCAGTTAGTACATTCCTGAGTTCTACTATTCCACGAAGCAGGCTCCAATTCGACTAGAGCGCAAAGAAAGCCCAAAAAACAACGTCATTGGTAGCTCAAGCTTTCCTTTCTCAGCTTTGACAGGCCAGCAGGATTGTTAGTCAAGTCACTTTAATATCGATATGCCAACAAGACAATCAATCATAATCTGGCATACTCATCATTCCAACTTTCCAATTGCTTTCCGAGCGGTGAGATTTTCATGCATATTTTCCCATCATTTTTTAGCTTTTGAAAAGTCCCGTCAACCCTGAAAAAACGGCTCTGATTCTATGAGCTACTGTGGAGATCGCATGGCCACAGCTGCCTAACCTTGTGCCTTTTCTAGAGGGTAATACCAGTGTGATCTTCAAAAAACATTGAGCACAGCATATTTTCTTACATACTTTGGCATAATTTTCTAGTTCTTGAAAAGTTCTATCTTCCCTGAAAATATATCGCTTTTATATTGAAGGACTTGATGATTATAGGCACTACATGGCACTGTCACAGGTAGAAACATGCTCTATAAAGGGATGGTTTGCTATCTGATAGAATGGACTCTATAGTGTTCAGGAAAATCGTTTATGTGCATCGAGAGTGGTTGAGTGATGAAGGAAGAAGCATTATTTCCAAGGTGGAGCTGACTTCTGAAGAGACTCTCATTTAGGACCGATTTATGGACAAACCGTCCTCCGTTCTTTCAAAGGAATTATAGAACATTGATTCCAATTCTAATTAGAAAAAATTCTTTATTTTCTGTTACTGAGTATTGTAAAACTTTAGATTCTCTCAACTTTGGTCGCAAGTAAGAATATCGAAAGTAAAAACACCGAAAATTAAAATGTTGAAAGAAAGGTCGAAACATGAGCTGAAGATTAATAAATGTATTCTGGTTATGAAAATAAAAAGCAAGTAATGGCATAAAATCAAATGTTTATTATATTGAAAAGAAAAAAGTGAAAGACAAGCAAAATACTTTGAAACATTAGTTTAGCGATATTAAATAATCTTTTCACTGTACAATCATAACTTTTTTTTGGCTACAACTAATGATAAACCATTATGGAGATCAGATGCTTAATCAGATAATTATTATATCGATTATACAACGTGTTTATTGGACTTTTCCATGCTGTTGTCTTCTTGTTTTTCTGTCTGGGTGCACCGGAACACCATTGAAGTATAATATTTTGCACGCGTTTATCCTCTGCTTTAATAAAATTGACCAAATTCCATATATTGGGATGATTTTAATAAATGCGAGAATTGATTCTATTATGATAATCTACAGTTAAAAAGTGGAAATCGAACGTTTTACTTCATCAGACATATACTCTTACCTTCACAAACATTATTTGTACGACTATCAAAGTCATGTACATTCCATAGATCAATATCCGACACCCAGTTTTTATCAAAATATTCCAATAATCGAATCATTGGTAAAGCAGGTAAAAGATTAGTAGCTTCTCGTATTTCATCGAAACATGTAAAATTTAATCACGTGACATCAATGGCAAAGCTATCAACTTTCTACACAAGGTACGTAATGTTTCATCAATCGCATACTGTTATTGCAGTCCCAGAAACTGGATGTGCCTATAGATCGCTTGAGAAAAATGGAAATAGCAGCAAATATGTTGAGCTGCTGGAAACTGAAAAGCAAGGAAGTAGAAAAAGATATTTTTCCGACTTAGATATGATATAATTACTTCATCTTTTACTGCTGCAATTGAACCAGACTCGAAGTCGGTCATGATAAATGAGGGTGAAAACACTATTTTCCTTTTTAAAGCAACACATTTTAATTCAGAAAAAAACTGTTTGTATATTGCAGCCTTTTTATTTACCAATAAGCCAACACACGGCAAATCTTAACATAAATGACAACACGCTTTAAAAGAAAAGTAAGCGCCTTCCTTAGAAATATCAAAATGCACTACATGTATTATATATATTTGGCTAAATTGTGACGGGTGCTTTTTTAAATGAACCATCTATGTAGATGATTGATGCTTTGAATAGTAAATCGAGTTGAGCATCACTTTCAAAAAATAATAAACGTTCACGCCTTATACGAGTTTCATCAATTAATAAAAATCTTTTTTTTCAATTGTTAGTTTAAAATCATTAGGAATATCAAATAGACATGATGCTGGTACTGGTGGTATTGTTTTACGTCGATTTTTAGCAGTACCTTCGTCTAGAAAAAAAAGAGATATTCACTTATTAATGAATGCTTATAAAATAACTTGCACATTTCATGCACTGTTCGAAACATAGTTACTGCGACTGAATTCATAAAATTTTTTGTCATTTCTTCATCATAAATTTTTCCGATAGGTATAACCTCTTTTAGCGCACGCCGTTTAATTTGTTCACGTGTTTTTGGACTTGAATCACTTCAGAATTTGCTGGGTGCCCACGGTCGATTTTACCACCAGACAAATAATTTTGATTTATATCAGTATGGGCATATACATCACAGCCTTTAACTATACATACCCAATATATTTTATTGGGCGTTTTTTTTTGCATTTGAATATGTATTGATTCATCACTAAAAGAGGCTGTCCCTTATTCGAAGTAATGAAAGTTAAATCACAACTGATGTTCCGTGCAGATTCAGTAGAAGCTTCCATCTTTATATTTGTCACACTAATAATGGAAAAATGAAGAGCATTATTCTTATTCTTCTCTTCTCTATAACATTGTGCTAAGTGAGCAATATCCGACAGACCAATGATAGATTTAAATGAACATAAGTCGCCATTGATCGTGCGATAATGACATCTTCATCGTACATCTTTCAAAATTTTACTTTTATGACTTTTTTGGACATTTTCACTTTCTATACTTCACTTTCGGCATTTTTCATTGTCAAAATTGTTACCTTCGATATTTTTACTTGCGGCCAAAGTTGCATGTACCAAAACTTTAACTCTGTAGATTTTTATATTCCAGTTAATTATGAGTAAACTATGGACGATCATTAATTTGCTTGCTCAATGCTTCGCAACGACCAATCAGCACCTTAGGTCACTTCGGTCTTCGGCTTCAACTTTGGCCAATTATCATTACCCATCCGGATTCTAGGTCGGATTTTATATCCGATCTTCCCAGTGGCTAGAAGGCCGACCAATCAGAAACGATCTTTTTTATTTTAAGCTTTTCGTACCTTTTGATAAAACATTGTAATAGGTTGTCGAAATCCTGGAATCCGAATATGAAGTCGGTTTTTCAATTTGAGCTTTCATTGGTCAGAAAATGAACGAATCAGAAACGAGATTTATATTTTAGGACTTTTCGCCCTTATAAGAAAAGTTTGCAGTAGGTTATCGATATCCAGAAATCCGAATATGAAGTTGGTTTTTCGATTTGAACTTTCATTGATCAGAAAAAGGACCAATCAGAAACGATCTTTTTGTATCTCGACTCAACGGATGGTCATGTGAAATAAAATGAGTTTGTGATCTGACAGTCATTGGGAGAGTAACGCATTTAAATATGTTAGCGTGGTTACAGGTTTGATAATCGGAGTAGCATCAAATATATATGAAGTTTTTTCAGGCCGCCAGTTCAGCCAATTATATATTTTCGGTGTTCGGCTATGAATCTGTCAAGCTTTATTCGACTAGCTGTAATTTAATGTGTTCTCGTTGCTTTCCTTGGTAGCTGGTGTGGTTAGGAAAGGTTGATGTGCAATTGGAACATTTTCTGTGATATTAATGTGCAATCAGTGATATTTTTAGATGATGTACGGTTGACCTTAGCTAATGAGTTGCATCAGATCAGCTTTCTTGTAAGTTGTCCTATCTAGATGTGGCTTCCAAAGTAGATATGTGCTAGAGAAAAATATAACGCATCGAATTGCATTCATGCAACAACGCGTTTAGGGTCCCACCAACATTCGAATCTACGCCGACAAGTACTTTTAAAACTCAAAGCCTAGTTTTAGTCGATCCGATATTATTGGTATTTAAGCCTACTCTCATTATATTTTTTTCTGGCTAGGTATTCAATTATTCGCACATTTTTTCAGCAGTTCTAACGCGTGTAAGTTCTATAGTCATTATAACTCGAGGAAGCTAAAATAAAAAGATATTTGTAAATGAGGTCACAATTTTTATGATAAATGAAGCATAACCAAAATATTGTTGTAATGTATTCAAATAATGGAGTGACTAGTCGTGAGTGGCGCCCGAGAGGGGCGTCAACGAACGACTGGTCGCGGATATTGCAAGCGTACTTTAGATTTTCTTCGGAAAAGATCTATGTAAAAACTAGGTTTTTGAGAATACTGCACTAAGTTTCCCTTAATCAGGAATTCTAATAAAATTCTGGCTTTTCAGCTAGACAATTAGGTTGAAGAAATAAGGAATAGTTCATAAAAAAGTGTCGGTTTGACACTGCCCATCGACAATTCTCGTGCTATAAATCTAACGATTTTTCGTAGTAAGAACAGTCTCGAATTCGATAGGGTCTAAAGTAACGAGGATGATCTTATGAGAGAATAGAGTTGTACATGACAGCGGCTAGTCGCTCGTCGGAGCCACTTCGAAGCGCCACTCATGGCTAGCTGCTACCCTAGAAAATTCCCTGAAGGAATGCGTCAAGCTAATAGGATGCATCAGGAAAATATCAACGATCTAGATTTGATGGGTTTCGGTACGGACCCGAAGTCTGAAAAAGCTGATAAGTATTTTCAAATAAAGTGTGAGAACAGTTTTTCTGTACGAGCACAATATCTGAATAGTATATTGGACGAAAAGCATCACTCAAAGAATTTATATTTACTCTATCGGAAGCAAAATTGAATGAAATAAAATGAATTTTTCTGTTGGTATGTGTCCTTGTTGGTTTAGAAACTGTGTTTTCTTAACTATATTGTCAGGTATACAATGCAGGTTGACTTTAGACTGTGTCTAAACATATGAAACGTAGAAAGTGATAGTGAATATTGCGGCTGTTTCCAGTTTTATGAAAATAGTTTTGGATTAATTGACTTTTTGTCATTAACACGGAGTGTTTTTGGGGATGAATTAAATGCAAAGGATAGGAGTGAATATACTACGAAGATTGGTTCTATTTGAAAATTATAAGAAAACTCTACTAATTTGTACCTGTTTTCTGTACTATTTGACCACATATTGGAGCCATTTTTTGTGCATATATAGCTCTTAGTATGGTCTAAAAACTGCAAAGACATGGAAATTTGAAATGCTTGGATAGTAGCTTCTAGTAAAACCGCAATGATATTTCTCTATTAAATATATAGGATTTGACAGGATAAATCACTTCGATCTGCAGCATTTCAAAAGACACCGGCACCATTTGTTGTGCATAGACAGTTCTTATTATACCTTCAAAAGTTGCAAAGACACGGATATTTGGAATGCTTTGACAATACCTTTCGAATCTTGAACAGGTCGAAGTGATTCACACCTTGAAATCCTATATGTTGAGTATAAAAATACCATTGTGATTTTACCAACAGGTGTTGGCCAAGCATTTCAAATCTCCATATCTTTGCAGCTTTTAAAGGCATAGTAAAAGTCATCTATTCACAAAAAATGGCACCGGTGCCTGTTGAAATGATGGAGAAAAGAGAGACAAATTAGCTTGGATTTCTTATAATTTTCAAATAGGACCGATTTTGTTAGCGTATCCACCTCCGTTCTTTCATATGATTAAATCTATGATCTGAGGAAATGTATGCATAGATAGGCAAGGGTCCTAAACTGGTATGTGACAATAAATTGTAATGTATTATTATTATTAAAAAACGATATTTTGAACCTTGTATATTTTTAGAAGTGTTATGACTCGTGAAATTTCTAGCAGCTATAACTCGAAGAAAGTAATACAAAAGGATATATGCAGATGGGGCCATATCTTTTATGCCAAATGGACAATAAACAACTATTGCTCAAGTGAACTGAATTAAATGGAGCGACTAGCCGTGAGTAGAGCTCTTGAGAGGAGCCTACAGACGACTAATGTCCGCGCCAGAATAAAAGAGGGGTGAGTGTAAGCTCAATAACTCGACAACCGCAATACCTAGCTACCTGCGGTTTTCACCAATCGAAAGAGGAGGAGCGGGCACGTCTTTTTC